TGTTTTCAGGTCTGGGTGAAATACCCTTCCATTAAGTAAATGGCCCCATCAGGAAACCCACCATGACTGAAGTTCCTGTCTCCTGGGAGGACCCTTGCAGCTCATCTGCATAGTATTAGAGATGGCTAACATTTTTTAGTTCTTACTGGGTAGGTGCCAGGCATTATACTAGTAAACACTTTAATAATTTGCTAACCCTTTGCTTACTTTCAACCCTTTGCCACTGTTGTAAGCACTGTATGTGTATGGACTAATATAATTTACACAAGCCTATGATATAGGGGCCATCATTCACATTTTGTAGGTGAGAAAACAGAGGCCCAGAGGATAATTGATTTGCTCATATTCCACAGCTAGTGACTAACAGTTCACCTAACTCCAGAACTCTTCTAGCTCTAGGCTAGATAGCCTTTCAAACTTTGCAAATAATTTTTTCATTTAGTCCTGATAACAAAGATGAAAGATAGGTTTTCTTTAGTGATCTTAAATAACGTGTCTAAGGTTGCATAGCTGGTTAGTGGCAGTGCTTGGTTTTTAACCAGAACTGCCCAACTCCAGAACCTGAGCTCTTAGCTATTGTTTTAATTCCCCAGAGGGTCTCATACTGCTCCCACGGGTGTTCCAGCACTCAGCCTAGGTCCTTGGCCAGTCCAGTGGTGTGGCAACATTTTTGCTCAATTTTCAGAAATTGTTAATGGACTGTTCTCTGTTATAAGCATTTCTTATAATTTATCAGTGGTATCTGCTCTAGCAAGCACTAACAAATGACAGAAAGAGAAGTAATGCACAGATAGTATATATGACCAGAAAACACTCAAATATCTGAGCTAGTCCCATGGATGTCACCTTTTTTTTTTAAACGGCATATATTATGCCAATAAAACTGTAATGACCTTAAATACACCTTTTTATAGTGTTCCACATAAAAGCAACAGGACTCAGAATCTGAGAAGTTTGAAAGCCATACATAATCATATCTGAAAAACTTAAAAAACCTATATGGTATAAAACAAATCTAATAAAAACCTATGGCACTTCTCTAAGAACAGTGCCTTCATTGCCAGGAACTTGCAGGATGGGGCCCTGGGTTTCTGAGTAGGGATCCTCCCACAGCCTGCAGGAGGAGCAGATCAAGTCTTTCTCTGGTCCAGGCCTGCAGTACCAGAGAGGAGGGGCCTGTGAAAGCCAGGTCTGAACAAAACATCATCCTTCACAGCGTCCGAGGCTAGTACAAACACTGCACACCGAAGTGGACAGTTGGCCTATCTTTCACATAGTCCTGGGCTGAAGCAGCCTTACTTCATTTAGGGCTGGACATGCGTAGTCAGGGCTAGGGCCAGGGAAAGAGCTATCTTCCTCAGTTAGTTCCAGGTGGAGAGTAAATGGCTATGATTTCTGGATTGAGAACTCTAAAAACTCCTGGAGTTTAACTCTCCTCTTCCTTCTCATGGTAATTTTCCATACAGGCAGGGTGTGGTCCTGACTCAGTTTGTGGTAAGGATGTGGCCATCCATAGGGGAGGAGCTTTCTGCTTGGTTCTTCCTTTGATTCTGGCCAGTGGGCAGAGGCAGAGCCTGGTGCTGAGTCATAACTGAGTTACTTAACAGCTTCTCAGGGATGGATTCTGACATGGAGGTTTGGAAGATGTCTCAGCTTGGACCACCTTGGGAGTGGTGGGGAGGAAGCCTTGTGGCTCACACAACCCACCCAGAGTACCCCTCCCCAGAAGGGGGGGGGACTAAAAGTTGGCTCCAGTTCATCTGTAGGGGCATCATTCTCTTTGGAATATAGGACATTCCACAGAGATTTCAGAACACCCCCCTGCTCCCCCCCCCGCGGGGCCAGCGATGCCATCCTTTAGGTTAAAGCATTACCTACAAAAATATTTTATCTAGGAGAGAGACCAAAGTCTCCTTAGTCCTATCTGTCCTTTCTAGGCTAAGTGGGTCAGGTTATGTGGATGCCAGTGATTACGGAGATGAAGACTGGAGGTATGGTGACAAGGGAAACACAGAATTTGACTGAATGCATCAGGAGGCATTCCTGGGGAAGGGGGCCCTTGGTCCATTGTTCACCGCTGCCTTTCTTCGTCTTCCAAATCTCAATTACTTTCTGGGGCCAGGGTCTGGTTATGATCCCACTTGGTCTTAGTGAGCCCAGCTGTGGCTACACTTGGAGGGAGAAAGGAGAGAGCACCGGGCCTCCCTGGGACTGGCATGGTGGATAGGATGAAAGTACTCTGGGGAGGTTTTGTCCTGTGAGCCCTAACAGTCATGGCTAGAGAAAGACTTGCCCTCTTTTTTACCCTGGGTCAGGTAGGCTGACAGGGTCACCCTGGCTGAGGCAATACTTCCACTGGAATGAAGGACTCCTCAAGCTTCCCTCCTGCTTCTGAATGCTGATGAGGCATTTCCCCAGGAGGGGGGAACTAGATACACAGTTGCATTCAGGAAACATTCTTTACCTTTCTTATCCTCTGGAATGGCCTTCCCATACCCATCTAATCAACCCTCCATGTCTCTTCCTACATGAAGCCCTCCCCTTCCCACACAGACAGCTTGTTCTCTCATTATCCCTAATTTGAAAAGCTCAACTTTCTCTTCCTTCCAGAATTTTTCTGTGGGGGAACTCTGGAATTGAGATTTTGTGCCACCCTGGTGAGCCCAAAGAGCTCTTGGGAATCTGAAGGAAGGCATAGAAGTAAATTAAGTCCACTTGGCCTGGCTCTGGAGAGGGCATATAAAGTCTAAAGTGATAAGCACTTCTGCTTTAAATCTGATACTTGGGGCCAGCGGGCTGCCCTGGAAATCCGTACTGGCCTATGAGAGAAATAACACTCTCATTTCAGGCAGAAGCCTAGAGGTCATATAACGGTAAAGCCTGTAAACCTCATCCTCTTCACCAGGGCCAAAGTTTGTCTTTGGACCCCAGGGGTTTGGGTCCAGTACCATTTGCTGACACACTTACCCCACCAGGGACTCCAAATGACCTTGGAGCATTAGACCATTTAATCCCAGGTTTTGTGGTTCTGTGGCCATGAATCCAAACCTAGCAATCTGCACCCTCACTCTTACCCCAGTCCAGTGAATCTAGCACCTCCTCATCCCATCCTGCCAGGTTAGAGAGCATAGTGGAAGGACTGGCTCTGGGGAGGAGCTTCGGGGGGGGGGGGTGTTCTGTGTTCTGCTGTAGCATCGCCCCAGGTTCACATAGCCTCCTGGATACTTATTGAGGGGTCAAAGGAGTGGGGATTCAGGATGACCAAGAGAAGTTACTTGAATTCAGAAGATGTTCTGGCACTAGTTATGAGGACCGTCCTCCACAAGATCAATTCCCAAAAAAGAGGAAGCCTGCCGGGCACCATGCAGTACTCACACACATCATCTGATCAAATTCCATCCTATGAAGCAGGAATGGTCTTCAATTTACTTTTAAGGAGCTAGGCTCTTACACATTAAATTATAGGATATGGTCATAGAACTAGTGGGTAGGGGATCCCTGGGTGGCGCAGAGGTTTAGCGCCTGCCTTTGGCCCAGGGCGCGATCCTGGAGACCCGGGATCGAATCCCACATCAGGCTCCCGGTGCATGGAGCCTGCTTCTCCCTCTGCCTGTGTCTCTGCCTCTCTCTCTCTCTCTGTGTGACTATCATAAATAAATAAATAATTAATTAAAAAAAAACTTAAAAAAAAAAAAACCTTAAAAAAATTAAAAAAAAAAAAAAAAGAACTAGTGGGTAGAATTGGAACTAAGATGGAATCCGAACTTTCTTAAATATTATGCTTTTCAGAAAAACAATGACAATCACCTTAAACTCCATGTGACAGATTTTCACTATGCATTTCTGTGTAAGGCCAGAGTTTCATGGATGACATTTTTTATGACTCTCCAGTTTAATACGTGTGCATTTCAATCTTGGGACTATGTCCAGACTTAGAACTTTAAAATGCAACGTTGTCCAGCACTGGCCAGATGACTGACACCCCCCACCTGCCAGTATTTTTCCTTCATCTTTAGCTCAGGGCCAACCAACGTCCTATCTACAACCAAGGGGACCAGAAAAGGCTTCCAGAAGAAAACTGAAGGATTCTATCACAAACAAACTTACTTTTAGGCTGTCCCTTTCTGTTCCTGGCTTATCTGAACTTCTGAACTAACAGAGAAGCAGAATGAAAGGCCTGTGATTCAGCTGCAAGCCAAGTGCCTGCTTGAGCAGGTCACACAAACTGGTATCATTTTCCAAGAAAGGACAAGACCCTAAGCAGTCATGACTTTTAACGAGGGGACATTGTTCTCAAAACTCGGCTTAATGGAGGCAGGAGTTAGCTGCCGTATCCTTGATAACTAATGACATCCCTGGTTGTTTACCAATCACCGGGGAAATCGGAAAATACCTTGGAGAAAAATAGAAGAAAAGCTCCAACGATATTGAACGAAAACCATGAGATTGAAAACAAAAGGGCTGATTCCTGCAGATTATCTGCCGTAACGTTCCACATCTCGTTCCTGATGGGTCAGTTGTGCACTAATACGAACACCTTCCATTCGCTTTCCATCGTCTCGGGCGCGCTCCGCAGGACTGCAGCCCCAACCAGTCCTCCCTTGTGACCCTCCGAACGACCTCCGGCCACCCCACGAGGCTCCAGCCCTCCCCACCTCCGGACCCCACCTCGGCTCCCGGGCTTCCCGGGCGAGCGCTGCAGGTGCGCGCCGCGGCGGGGCCCTCGCGGGCTGGGGAGGGGCGGGCCGGGGGCTCGGGGGCTCGGGAGGGCTGGGGGCGGGGCTCGGGAGGGCTGGGGGCGGGGCCCGCCGCCAGCCACTTCCCCATTGGCGGGCGGCGGGCGCGGCGGCCGAGTGCCGTGTCCTTCCGCGCGGCATGTAGTCCCCCGGAGGGCACCCAGACGCCGCGCCCGGCCCGCGGCGCTTCCTCCCGACGACGAGCGGCCCGGCGAGGACGCAGGGGGCGGGGCCCGGCGAGCCGGGAGCCGGGATTGGGCGCAGGGCGGGGCGGCGGAGGGATTGCGGCGGCCGCGGCGGGATAACCTCGGGGCCCCGGCGGCCGCCCCCCGCACAGCAGCGCCGCGTCGCCAGCGTCCGCAGCGCCCGCACCGCCCGTACCGCAGCGCAGCGCAGCTCGAGCCGGACCGCGCCGGAGGTGAGCGGGGCCGCCGCCGCGCCGGGCGTCCCCCCGGGCTCCCCGCGCCCCGCCGGGCGTCCCCCCCGGGCTCCCGGGCATCCTGCTCGGGGGCGGGGTGGGCTGGCGCCCCGGCCTGCCCTTCAGAGCCCCCGCGTCCTCCCGCGCCGGCCTCCCCCGCCCCGGGGCGCGCTCCCTTCTGGCCTCGCCGCCGCCGCCTGGATCCGCTCGCATCACCGCCTTCCTTGCAGCAAACCCTCCTCCCCGTGCTCCCTCCTGCCCTCCGAGCCCCGCTCGCCCCCGCCCGGGGCCCCCTCCTCCAGATGCTGCCCCGGCGCCTCCCCGCGCCGCGTGCTCCTCCCGCGCCCCCGCCCCTCCCCCACCCGCGCTGGGGCCGCCCCTCCCCCTCCCCCGCCTGGTCACGTCCGCTCCTCCGCATCCCTGTCCTCCGCGCCCTGATTCGCCGCGCCCGCGGCCTCGCCCCTCCCCTCGGGGCTGGGCTCGTCCGCCGGCGCCCCCCGCCCCGCCCCGCCCCCCGGTGCCCGCGGAGGCGCAGGGGCCCGTCGGGGGCGCAGTCCGGGGCACCGATCCGCCGCGCTGCTCCGGGGGCCCCTCCCCGCCCTCCCCGCCCGGGGACTTGCGCAGCCTCCGCCTCGGGGGACCGACGCGCCCGGAGCCTGGAGCCCGGCGGTCCCGGGAGCGGGTGGGAGCGGGTTAGGGGCGCAGAGGAAGCACGGGGAGCGCTTGGCGCCACGGACCGCCTCCACTCGGTGCAGCCGGTGCTGAGCTGCTCTGGGGCGGGGGGGGGCGTCGCTAGAGGGTCTCGGCGCGCAAGGCTCGGGAGGATGCGGGCGCCGCGGGACGGGGTGCGGCGCCGGTGCCCTGGGCGGGGGCCGCGCTCTCTGGGTTCGAAGCCCGGAGGGACCTTCCGCTGTGAAGGTCATTGAAGAGCCCAGTGGAAGGGCGTTGCGTTCCTGCGCTTTTTATCCGTGTTCTTCAAACCCAAGGCGCGGATCCTCTCCTGTGCGCGTGAGTCAGAGCTGATGACGGTCCGGGCACGATGGACAGAAGTTAACAGGCTTCTAGAATCGAATTTGGCTCGTTAGCATACAGGAATGGTGCAGGGGGTCCCCGTGTGTAACGAGTAACCTCTTTGCTCCTGACTGTTGGATGGGTTACTATTCACACTGGGCGCAGTGTCTCCTCTCTAGTGAGAAAATGTCCAGAAGAAATGACTCCGGATGTGTTCCTCGGTCACTGAGCACAATTACATAAACTGTACTTCAGCACGAGGGCTCATCTTCTCCTTGCCATCCCCAAACACATACTCCTAGTTAATCTTGGGATTAACTCCTAAATCAGGGTTTCTAAATACTAGAAATCTCCTGGAAACCAATCCCCTAAGGGAACCTGGTACAGTGATTACAAAGTAACTAATAAAGGTTACCTTGCAGCTCCCCACTCGGCTACACGGGCTCTTTGGTCTCCTGAGGTTAGTAGACAAAGGAAGGCCAGGAGGGTCAGAATTCTCGCAGTGGTGTTGGGCTGTAAGACTAGAACCAGACCTGCAGCCCCCCCACGCTGCACTCTTCCCCCGCTGTCTCCACCTGCTCCGGGTGGAGTTCTAGATTTGCTCAGCCAAGTGGTCAAGCGTGAGGTTGGGATTGGAGGCAAGGACAGTGGCCTCCTGTCGGTAGTACTGAGGGTGCGGCCACTCCCTGGGGTACAGAGGATATCTTAGGTCAGGACTACTGCTCTGAGGCATTGTGAGCAAATAATTTACTCTCTTGATGCCTGAAGATGCTGTTGGGAAATGCAGTGCGGCTGTCCTGAGGGGAAGGGTATGTAGACCCATCACTAGGTTTGTGGATGAGTGGGGAGGCCTCTGGGGGAAGATGACTCAACCTTTCAACTTCTCTGCTTTTGAGAGAATTCTCTTTGTTGGGTGAGTGGGAAACTGCATTGTGGTCTTCACAGGTTTAAAAAGTCCCTTCTCTTCATTTAATGAGTCAAATAGTGAAACACACATTTTCCCCAGTTAAGTGAAAAGTGGTTGTCCAGGTTGTCCCGGCTCTCTGTACTCCCCTAAGAGCTTAGGTGCAGCGTGACACAGGCCTGTGCCCAAGTAACATAGTCTGTGCACCTGCATTCCTGAGACTTACCCAAGGGACACGGCAGTCCTTCATGGGAGGGGGGGCTGTTATGGTTATGAATAATGATGACTGAAAGAATGTCCTTGAACTCACCTCTGACTTGAGTCAAAATAGACGGACATTAGTCTCTTCCAGTCTTAGTTTAGCTGCTCTCATTCTAAGCACTGTGTTAGGAGTAAATAACTTTGGTGTTGAATTCATAGTTTAACAGAAAGCATTTTTGGGTGTCTAATAATTTGCCAGTGACCTGGCCAATTTGGTAGGGGGGACTCCAGACAGAACTTGTACCTTGTACAAGTTGCTTCTGTGCCTTGGATGTTGTGACATTAATGGGGTGGGGGGTGTCACGGGAAAAGCCATTTTATTTCTTAAAGCTGTGTGTTTCTTAATGTTGAGGCAGTGGAAGAAATGAGGAAATGGCTGTGAGCTAGGAAAAACCCAACTCTTGCATTATCAACTCACACTACCCTGGTTCTAATTTATGTTGCTTCAGCTTGTATGAAGGCATGTCAGGATGTGTTATTTTGGCCAAGAGCTAAGACTGAGCTCAAGGTAGGGGAAAATGACTCATTTGACATTTTATTTCTGAATCATTCCAAACGTCTACAGTCAAATCTCAGTTAGGTGGTACCCCACAAGGATGAGTCGCCCGTTTGAGCAAAGTTCTTTTGCAGCCTTGTTGAGGACGTTGGGAGATGTAGAAGTGTTTTACTCGGTGGGAGATCCTGTAGGAGGGGAGCCTGGCTGGCTCAGCCAGTAGAGAGCGGAACTCTTGATCTTGGGGTCGTGAGTTTCAGCCTCATGTTGGGCACAGAGATTACTTTAAAAAGGAAACATTTTTTAAAAGTCCTCCAGGACTGTGAGTCATCACTTTAAACCTCAGTTCTGGTCCAGCCAGGACTAGAGCTAAAGAAAGAGCATTCTTAATGCGAGCATGCTCTGGGAACTTGGATTTTTCACCTCACCACGAGCCAGTCTCAGACTAGACCAATGAATAGTCTGCTTGTTTGGGGCTTTGTTAAGGAAGCTGTTTGGGGGAAGGTGAGCCAGGGTGGGTAGTGGATGGTGGTGTGCAACATCTGGTGGGCCTCTTGGCCTCCCGGTGTGACTGCTCAGCTCAGGGGAGGGGGTGTTGGCAGAGCCACCAAGTGGTGTGGCGCCCGCCCCTGCAGCGGTCTGTGCCGTTCTGCACGTAGGAAGGAGGGCCTGCAGGAAGGAGGGCCAGCCGGGCTGCAGTACCTCCGGCGGCCTCTGAGACTTACCTCCCCCACTTCTGTCCATAGCAAAGCTTCCGGGGAGCTCTAAGCCTCTCTTCCCTGACGCCAGCAAGCTATGTTTGGAAGTTAGGCAGGGGCCATGGTGGGGGAGATGCCAAGCCAAGCTGTGACAGTGCCAGCTTAGCTGATATAGTTCGAAAAGGTCTCTGGAAAGGCGCCCATTCCTTCCGAGCCTTTGGAGTCGACCTACAGCTAGTACTTCTTTAACTTCAGGTAATTAGTGTCTTCCGTGTTTCCAGCGACGAGGGCAAAAGAATTAACCCGGTCAGTGAATCAGTCACGGTATCAGACAAAACCATGGGCAACTTGAAGGAGCCCTGGGAGTTTTAATCTCGTTAGAGGTAGGGAAGTAGAGGCTTTTGATAACTGGTATCCCTCTTTTGTTATGACATTAGGAAACAGGTTAATGTCACCTATCCAGAGGGTCTACATTTTAAAGCTCTGACAATATTGAATGCTGGCAGAAGTGTTAGAGGGCAAGAACTCACATTGCTGGTTGGTTGTAAATGGATATAACCACGTTAGAGCCCTTCAGCAATATTTAGCAAAATAGAAAATAAACATACCCTGTGACTTAGGAATTTCATTTCTGGATATATATAGAAGCTCACACTTGCACATACAGCCGTGTCCTAGGAGAATTGTTGATTGCATTGAATAATAGGGGGAAAATTGATTGGATTGCCAACCAGTAAGGGAATGCATAAATAAACGATGTAGTCGTGCAGCGGATCGGTATAGTCGTTCATATGAATTAACTAGATCTATGTACCCGCTGGATAGATCTTACATGTGCTGAAAAAAGCAAGATGTTTATTTGTACAGTATTGTACTGAGGGCATTTTAGAAAAAACGGTGTGATAGGGATCAGTATAGATATAGATGCTTAAATGGATTAGAAGGATATACAAAATTCCTGACAGTGGCTGGGTGTCAAAGTTCCTCGAAAGGTTGGAGGGCCCTGGGGATAGAGGGAAAATAAACTACAAAATTGTAATGGTTAAAAAAAAAAAGTCTACAGGAATTCTGGCTAAATGTTAGTAGTCAGTTCTGGGCGGTAGAAATACAGATGTTAATATTCCTTTTTTTTTTCTTCAGTTAAAAATAAAGCAAAATAGAAGCACATCTGTGAAAGTCACTTTAGGAAGACCAGTTTTACTAACTAGGTCAGTGTTCTTGGAGAGCTGGAACTGCCCTTCCTCATTTCATCCTCCCCTTCTCTCCCTCCAGCTATGGTGCAGGACAACCCCTCCTTTAAATGCTGAGCTAGAACACCTCACTTTGCAGAGGCTATCACCCATCCTGGTTGTATCGGACTTTGAAGGGCCCTAACCTAGAGTCCCAGGTCCCTTGCTACTTCCAAACTATGCATATCATGCCCTGAAACACTGCCTCACTATTTTAAGCCTAGTAAGGAGGCGTGGTAACACAGGACAACAAAAGTTTCATCCAAACTTCCTTCTTCAGGCTGAAACCACTTCTCTGCTCTGAGCTTCTGTGGTCAAACAAGGACATCTGAGGTTTCTCTGACTTGGGACTTCCTGCTCTGGAGTGGAGTGGTTCTTTGGAGGCTGGGCCCGTGTTGTATCTA